TATATTTTTTTAATGATGCTCCCGGACTCATATACAGTGAACAAGGAAACCCCATAGAGATTGAGAAATGAAAAAGAATATATATAAATATATATATATATATATATATAGCGATCGAGAGGTACAAGAGAGGGGACCATGAGAAATCTGTCAAAGTTATATATGTGGTATCAAAGGCATATGAGGTTGTTCCCATTCTTCATAGTCACAAAAACTACCTCTTCACTACATGTCTCTCTGTTATATACTTGTAATGTTTCTTTATATAAACACCTAAATTTGTCCATCCTAAAGATATGGAGCTGCCTATGTGTGACTCTGTTTGTCTGTCTCTCCCTAAATATACACACTCACATAAATAATCCATTTATGTTTTGATCATTATCCACAATGTCTTGCAAGTGGCTACATTGAATGATTTACGTGTGGATTAATTAAATCTGTGGATAAGTAACAGACCCAAGTGATCACCATTCCTTGCTGTTTTTGCTTCATATTCTAATGTTCCACTAAAGAAATTAAATGATCCTTATTAATTAATTTATTAGTATTATATATATGTTTACTTTATTTACTGGTGAGCCATCAGAATCATATTCAAAGGGCTAATTGACTGATGATCTGAAGTTGATAAGCTAATTTCTTGCGCCTAAATAATTGTGTTGCTGACAATTTCTCAAGTTGTTACTTTTGGTGTTAAATATAACAGACTCTTCCCACAGTAGGACCCTATACCCAACAAACACACATGTAATGTTTTTGCTTCTCAACTAATAATCCCATCAATTCAACTGAGAAATATATATATATATATATATATTTTTTTTTTTTTGAAATATAGTTGATCAGACAATTGAGAAAGTAAGAATGGGCAATTTGAAGTAGTTGGGTTGACAACCCTTATAGCCAAACACACATTAGTTATCCACAAGTGGTCCATCTCGTTGCTGTTACTATCTCCAAAGAAATGACAACGTTCCTCTAAAGTTATCATTTAATTAAATTTCAGAGTTTGATTTATAACTTGTGTGTATTATAGCAGCTGGTGTACAACTGTTTCCCAATGTTTGAATTAATGATTATGCATGAGAAACTAATTGACTTCATAGGAATTATGATTGAATGGAAAAGGAAGATAAGGAATGACAAAGTTAAAAAAGAGGGTAAATATAATTTTTGGTCTCTATATTTTACTCGTATTTTGCATTTAGTCTCTATATTTTTTTTTTTTGGTGTTTTAGGTTTCTACACTTTTGTTTTTCATTATTTTCGATCTCTCTAGGAGCAAAGTTTAGGGACCTTAAAAGGATTCAAAACAATAAAAAACAAAAATGTAAAGACCTAAAATATCAAAAAAGTGTAAGGACCAAAAGCAAAATGTGAGTAAAGTATAGGAATTAAAAGTTATATTTACCAAAAAAAAATATATAGAAAATGCATGTGCCAACTGTACTGGGTGATTTTGATTATTCCATCATTTATACAATATATGTGATAATGTTGATATATAGAAGAATGGAATGCAACTCATCTCTTTTAGTATTATGGATAACTATAATGCAGTATTTGAAATATATAAAAAAGTATTTTTAGAAAAAAAATTAAAAAAAAATACAACTATCCCATTTTATTAAGTTCATCTCCGTTTTTTTTTTAAATATTTTTTCATGTATCAAACATATAACGTGGGTTGCTTATGAAAACTTTGAAAGAACTATAATGAAACTTATGACAGAGAATAATCATTACTATATCTATCCACCACCATTACAGAGAAAGAAATATCTGATCGACTCATCTATAATTTGGCTATTAACAAATAAAATAAATCTTCCTATAATGAGCAATTGGGTTTCTTTAAACCTCCTTTAAATTATAGTCCGAGTCGACTTGGTGTCTTTTTTGGTGCTATTTCATCAATAATTTATGGAGATTTACAATGTGGGGCACTGAATTTTTCATATTTATAATGGCTGGTGTGGCCTTATAATGCAAAAGCCCATCTAATGTAGGTCTGCAACTCCCATGCATGGTCATTTTATATTGGATCATAAGTCTTATGTTTAGTTTCATGGACACATTAACATCAGTCTTTTTTGGCCCAAAAAGGGCATGTATTTTTAATCCTCACAAAATTAGTTTATAAAAAATAAAAACCAACACCCTTCGATCTCCCACACATGCCTTAAGGACTCGAGAGAATTTAAGCCTAAAAAAAAAGTCTCTTGGAAGTTGCATGCTTGACGTGTATTATTTATACCAACATTAAAAGAAAGAAACAGAGAGTTGGATATGACAAAATTTTGAAGCTGAGCTGAGCTATCAGATCTACTGCAAAAAGAAACATATCTCTGGGAAACAACTGAAGCTACGGATACATCATCAACGCCAACACACTTTTTTTTTTTTTTTTATGGGCTACAGCTTTATTAAAGCTTGCGTTTGACATTATTCATGTTCTTTGTCAGTGCAAAGCCATAAATGTGAATCATCATGTGTATGAAGTAACAGTTTGTGTGAGAGAGAGCCGATTTGATTCTTATCTTCTGGATCCCAAATTCAGAACATTTATCTGCTTATCTTCAACCTTCCCTTTTGGCATCATGATCATCAACCTTTCCGTCCATATGCTTTCTTCTACAATACTCATTCCTGCTTTTGCAAATTATAACGACTAATAAGAGTGTGTAGTAAATGAGTTTACGGAACAGATTAAACCTTAGAAGCCCGGGAAAAATGGGGGAAAAAAGAAAGACAGGTTTCCTCACTTCAGATGCTTAGAACAACTTAGGACCATTACCTACAATCATTTTGGGACCTCAATATTCTGATTCTTTGGAATTGGCTTCCAAAATCATCATCCAAATCATGACATTCTCATCCGCTATGCCGATTCTTTGTATTCACATATATAGGAGGGAAAAATAAATGGACAGAGAACAGTAAGAAGATATCAAATCTTAATTCAAAATATCAAGATTTAAGGTTTTGAGTCCTTCTAATTTTTATGTATTATTTCATTTGTCCTTCTATGTTAGGAATTTCTTCTGATCTTATTTACAGGGTAAAGAAAGAATATTTTTTTAATCCTATTTATAAATCACATTATTAATTTTTTATAACAAATTTTATCTTTTATTTCCTGTTAAATTTGGAAAAAAATATGTTGTTAAAGTATTTATATTTAATAAGAGCAAAATTGATAACATATTAAATTTTTAAATAGAGTTATTAAGTTTTAAGGTTTTTTTTATTTCGATAAAATATGTTAGAAATAATTTATAAATGGAATCAAAGAATAATTTTCTAGAAGTTTGTTTTGTCCCTAAGTATAAGAAGTGTTATGATATTTTTGAGTGATTGAATAATTTTGCCCTTATTGTTTTGAAAAAGGAGAAGAAATATTCATTCATTCATTGTGTGCTTTACCTACCACAATGATATTAATTTATTAATTATGTGCTTTACCCACTACAATGATATTAATGTCAACATTATTAGAGGCAAAACTGAAAAATTGCTATGTTTTTATTTACTTTTGATTAAATAACTAACTTTTATTAATATGTAGAATTTGGTTAAGAGTACCTTATATATAAGGATAGGGGAATAATTATTATATTCAACTTTATCTAATGTGAATTGACTCAAGTTTATTTTTACATCTGAACAGCCTAATAAAAAAAAGGGATGATAATTATAAATATGTAATATAGAATTGTGTATACTCTTTCTAACATTAATGCAGAGGATTCGAAACCACAAGTTAGGACCGTTCCCACCATCACACTCAAATACTCCCACTGCAAGGAATAGCTTACAATTTTTGGTTCCATCTTTTGCATGGCTAATATCACTTTATACTCTTGTGGGTCCCCAGTAGCAGAACCAGTATCTGCACTTGAATAATTTATATATTCATAATATCACTTTCTTCTTTCACTAAATTGAATGTTGTTATAAAACACATACTTCAAACTCACTTGGAAAGTTGAATTTTTTTAATTCGTACTTAAAATAACATTAAAACTTTTGTTTTTTGTATTTTAACTACTGTTTACTCTGCATGAAGATGCATATGCATTGTGCCAATCAATCAAACGTTTGAAAGATAAAAGCTTAATTATAACGAACAGTCCAAATAGAGTTTATCAGATTAAGAAGACGCTTCAAGCTCTGACCAATGAGAGAGAAAAACCAGAATCAGAGCTGATTAATGATGAGTAGCAAACAATGTTGCTCTGAACAAACATCCCCAGTACCAATTCCTTATATCTTTGAAACCAACAAAATATAATGTTTCTATGAATAAGGTAAAGTAGAGTCCACTTTTTCTTCTCATCTGGGCAGATTCTTGCCAGCTTTAGCAGATTTCGTCAGTGCAATCAATTTGAGTTTCATTTTTTGAGAGTTTACATTATATATGTTCAAAAGTAGGAAGACAAAAAGATATTTTAGTAATAATTTCTTGGTCTCATTATTCTTTCTCCAAACACGCCCTTGGCATCAGGCCAAAACTGAGGACACTAATGACTGCAGTACCAAGAAAAAAAAAATATTAAAGAAGAAAAAGAGAAGCAAATAAGGACATGAAGAAAAGAATCTCATCCAATTGCTATTTTGGCACACTTCCAAGACTGAGAATTCAGATTAAAAATCACAGAATCAAGTTTCAAGTACCATCAGAAATAAGGGGAAAATATTTATGCCGCTGGTATCTGCAATGCACAGAATAAAGTTCACCCCCATAGTCCCACGCACTTGGGACTTGAAATTTAATGAATTCAAAATATTCTATGTTAAAATAAGAGAGTAAATTTTTCATGACACAGTCCACTCAATGAATTGACCGATAAGAATATACTTATCTGCTCTCTGCTCTCTCTCTCTTCACCCCCATCATGATTCTCTTATTTTTTTCTTCCTATATGACGGAATTGCAGATATTCAAGATATTATCCCTCTATCTTTTCCTCTTTGTTTTGGTCCTCCTAGTCCTCTTGCTGTCAGCATGTATAAAAGTACTTGTAAACCTAAATCTGATGCTCATCATTTCATATATTTCTCACCAAGCTAATCAATCAGTAATGAGAAGAAAAGGAAGGCAGGGTGGGAAAAAAGAAAAGTAAAAAAAAAAAGAAAAGAAAAGAAAACAAAGATGTGTCATTTGGAACCAGATTCATTTGAAACTGATTCCCCTCTCTGGCTGTACTTTGTCCTGCTTGGTTTTCGTGGTTCCAAGGCAGATAGAGTCACAAGTGCTTTCCAACTTTTGGCCATTCAGATTCCTTCACTAGCTTCAACCCTATCTCTCACCATTTATAAGCACACCACTCTCACCATTTTCCTTCACAAGCTGTTCCTAAACCTTTCTCTTCTCAGTCATCTTCAGTTCTGAAACGATATCTATATATATATATATATATTAGTTACGGCTTCAAGCTCTCTCAGCAAAAAGATGGCCTCTGATTCCTCTTGGACACCTAAACAGAACAAGCTGTTTGAAAAGGCTCTTGCAAAATATGACAAGGACACTCCTGATCGATGGCACAATGTGGCTAAAGCTGTTGGTGGCAAATCTGCTGAGGAAGTTAAGAGACACTATGAAATCCTCTTGGAGGATCTTAGACACATTGAGTCTGGTAGTGTTCCCATCCCCAACTACAAATCCACCGGCGCCAATGTTGACGAAGAAAAGAGGTAATTAATGTTCAGAGTTCACTCAAAAAGCCTCTTTGTTTTTATCATTATTTTCTGATTATCCTCATGCATGATTGTTCCTTCTTTTAAAAGCTAGAACAAATGCAGACACTAAAACTGCTTCCGAATAATAGAGCTGCTGGACTGTGAGAAAAATCACGTGCATGAGAGTTGAGACATTATTATTTAATTCCTGTAGTGTCATCCAACATGCAGAAGGTCTCTCATTTTAACCAATAATCAGTAAGAACATTAGCATGGATGGTCATTTTGACACCAAGTTGAACCAGAAGAAATTAATGCCTCACATTCAATCACTGTCTTGTGTTGTTATTACCACGGTGATGCTTGCATTGTCGTGACTTTTATTGGTTTGCCTCACAGGCTTCTGAAGTATCTTCAGCTTAATTGAAGGGAGCTGAATCAGTGCCTGCGTGATCGATCATCTGCTTCTGACAGCATATATATATAGATGCTATTGGATGACGACGACTCTGTGTTATATATTTATACATATCCGTGTATCCCCTATTGCTGTGTGTCTCTTCTCCTCTCCTTTCTTGTCATTGTCATTGAGATCATTGTAATCAATTAGTGTATTCTCATATTCCTTAGTTATGAGTAACGATGCCAGAAACCAGAGGGAGAAAAAGAAAAGTTTGTAGGGCGTGAGAAAACTGAAAAGCTAAAAGCTATCGGATAATATTCTTGGAACGGGATTTCAATATCGTTGACAAACTTTCTGGTGTGAAAGCTTTTCCGACTCGAAACATAGACCACATACACACGGCATATGTGAAAGTTTAGTGACGCTAGTCCAATAAAAACTTTAACATTGTGAATTTATGGGACTAGGGTCCAAATTAATCATTGAACACCAAATTTTTTTTATTGTCAGAGGACAAGAGGATGCATTTAAGTGTACTTGGCGCTACCAAATTTTAATACAAAACGGTACAGCACCGAGTTCATGGGTAATTCAACTCATACCTCTTTTCCATCTCAACTCTGATATGAAACTCCTCTCACTAAGTTTAAGTCACTTAACACACTAATAAATATACAATCCCGTCTCTTATCCCTTCATTAATGTCAAATTGTTGTGACATATAATTTGCTGAGACGTATCTACTACTCTGCATGTAACTTCATGCTCATGGTGTTAATTATTAGAAAGGGGAAAAAAGAATGCCAGAGTAGAAAAAGAAAATTATAATCACACTTTTTACGTTTTTATATTCAAGCTTATTGTGTAAGAATTACGTTTTTACCCTCCCAACAAAGGATATTTCATACTTTCGTACATTCTATAACTTTGATTTTTTTTATTTTGGATAATGATTATTTATTAATGGTAAAAGCTTGGGATTTTATTTAAAAAAAAGTTTAATTTATTGAATTTTGATGTAACCAGTTAAACTGAGTTAGAATTTAAAAATTTTACAGCAATTGTACAACATGAATTTAAAATCTTTACTCCTCTTCTTAAGCAAATTCTCGCCTCATATGATTATACAAATGCACAAATATTAAATGGCATGAATTTTCAAGCATCAAGTTTTCTTACATAAATTTCTACACTTTTCACAATCTCAACATTTTCTCAATCTCATTCACATCACATTATCATCAAATTGTTTTTCTCATGCATGTTCTCATATTCATGCTCAGATAATTCATTCATTAACATTTCACAAACATGATCATTTTACTAAAATTTAATTCGTTAATTTACACCACATTTGTATTAATAAATGTTCAAAGCATCATAATTATAATTATCTATAACTAATTAACAAGTAAATGTAGAAACTAAATTTTCTTCGATTATTTTAAACTTTTAAAAGATCAAATATTTTTCCCCAATACAATCACTTTCAAAGTTCTCTTCAAGCTTGAATGATGCGATAAATGATTAATATACAATTAATCATATTAATAACAATTAATCTTATCATTTACATTAATTTTACTCTTTATCTCAACACTTGAACTACTCAGGATTCCCAAACTCCAATACTTGAGCTTACCTTTACTAGCTTCCTTGAGTTCATTTACCAACTTCAACCACCTCATTAAGTGTCCATTTTTGGACATTAATAGCACTCATCAACCCTTGGTGTAGATAATTTAAATAACTCTCATTAACTCTATTTAAGTTTATGGGTTTGCACCCATAACCCTATAAGTCCAAAAATCATCCTCTCAAAGCAAACCTAGCTTGATGAAAATAGTGTAGACAAGTTTGAATCACTTTAACAAGATCCAATCACCAAGCCCTAGCAAACCTAATAATGAGCTCCTCATCCCTCTCTCTCTCAAGCTCCACTTCTTTCTTTTGTACATGTAGTACATAGAACAATCCTTGTGGCTTTGTCACTCATGGTCAGAATTACACCCTTTATATTCTCTACTTCTTTTAGGCCCAAATTCACTCTGGACTCAATCCTTAGGTTATAAATAATGAGCTCCTCATCCCTCTCTCTCAAACTCCACTTTTTTCTTTTGTGCATGTGGTACATAAAACAATCCTTATGGCCCTGTGACCTATGGTCAAAATTACACCCTCTATGTTCTCTACTTCTTTCAAGCCCAAATTTGCTCTGAACTCAATCCTTAAGCTACAAACATAGCCCATGACTATTCTTTACTTCTTTCAAACCCCTTAGTGGCCCCCTAATCATTCACATGTCACATTCAATTTAATAATGGATTAATTTTTTAGGATGTTACAACAATCATGTTTTACTTGAGACCTGTATGAAAATGACAATGTTGGAAGCCTATATCCTAGTTCGATTTTGCTTAGGATCTGTATGAAAAAAGAGGAAGCTCATGCAAAGATTTTGAAAAAAGAAACACACACCAAGACTTTGCTTGAGTTTATATTATTTAAAAAAAGAAAAACATATCTTTTGGTCTCTACACTTACTCGTATTTTGCTATAAATTTCTACATTTTTTCCCGTGTTTTGGGTCTCTACACTTTCATTGTCCTGTGTTTTACATTCATCCAAGATTCTATTACTTTATCATTTTGTTCATTTAGGAAACTAAAACACTAAAAAATGAAAGTGTAAAGACTCAAAATATTAAAAAAATATGTTGAGACCTATTGCAAAATATGAGTGAAGTATAGAGACCAAAATGTATGTTTTGTTTTCCCTTTAAAAAATATGAATTAGTATTATTAAATTATTGCATAATTTAAATTAAATTATTAATATATATTGCAAATTTTTTTATAATGCTTAACTAACTTATAAGTTATGTACAATTTATTTGATTTTATAAAGGTGTGTGAGTTAAATATTTGATTTTATAAGTTAAATGATTTAAAATCTTTTTAAAAAAGATGGCATAGTGAGTGATAAAACATGTGGATGAGAATTGATGTTGTAGATAAAAGTAAAAATAGAAAAGAGTTGGGAAATGGAAAAACTGGGAGAAGCCTAAAGGAATAATTAATTGTAAGTGCAAGCAAAAATATCTAAAAAAATTTCGACCGTAAATAATTAAATCTAAAAATAGGAAAATAAATTATCAAAATATTGAAGAAAAAATGATAGATAATTTTTTTTAATAGAGAAAAAACAATTTCATCGGTGAAATGAGATTTAAATCCAAAGGGCTTATCTGCCATATCTGTCCCTTTCTTTCCTCTTTCCTTCTGCGTCCAGCGACTTTGCCCTCATTCATGACCACACCCTTTGCCGGCCATACCGGAATTTCGCCGAGGTCATTCCACAGCTCCAACAGATTCTCATTGCCATCCTTTTTCAGCTTCTTCCCTTGCTCATTACCATTCCACAGCTTTTTCAGATTCTCATTACCATCATCACAGAACACCACTTGGTGAAGAAGACACTCGCCGGGGATGATGATACACTCATCAGAACTTTTCCCGCGAGAAAACACTCAGGAGAAAGCAACGACGTCGTTTTGCACTTGTCTTCGCCTACGACTATCGGCATAGCCACACCAGGCTTCACCGGGTCTTCGCCTCCCAAGCACTCCAACTTTCTGCGACAAAGCGAAGAACCTAAACTGAACCTCTAGATGAGCAAAACAAGCCACCTCATAGTTGTGAACCTTTTGTCTTCCTCCATCACAGGCACCACATTCACCAGAATCTATGCAACGTCCTTCAGAGCCACAATGACGCTGTTCCTGCTGGGGACTCTCTACACTTTCACATCACCTTTGAGCCAAGAGGAAAGAGACGCCTCCGGCGAGGAAAATTGGTTGTTGTTGTGGGTGAGGGTGAGGTGGTTGACACATCACTCTCCAAATATTAAATCACCTAAGGTTTAATCACTTAATCATTTTTTTTCTTTCAATGAAAATGCTCAAATATGTCAAGTCTAAAATGATGACTTCCTAATGCATTCATTTTTCCAAATCCAATAATTTGTTGGGTTTAGGGAAACTATCTCCAACTTTTCTCCCAAACACATCTTAAGTTTCTTACATCCTTAAATGTGGCAGCATAACTTCAATTGCTATTCTCCTGCATAACTCATAAGAGAGTCAAATATAATTAGTGTTTCTTAGACACACCCTATGTTAATGGACTGACAAAGCCTGTTCATTTTATCATGACACTCGCCATGCCTTTCATTCCAGTATATATGCATACTTTCACACGTGCATGATGTCTCAAAGTAAATGTACCTGACCCTCGTGCATGATATGTACTTGACGCTGAACCTCAATCACATTACAACTTAACATCTCACAAGCTGCAACCGCATCCTACATTTTAAAAACAGAAAAATGAGCTTTCGTTTTCCCCAACATGAATTGATTCCAACAACTTTTATTATCAAATCTCACAAGCGGCAACCACATCCTGCATTTTAAAAACAGAAAAAAAGAGCTTTCTTTTTCCCCAACATGAATTGATTCTAACAACTTTTATTATCAAATCTCGTTTTCTCTTCTATTGTTGATCTTTCCTGCAAATTGTTCAGAGTCATCAAGCCACTTGCAGACTTTCTACCAAGTGATGAGTTCAGAATCCAGAGATCATATTTCTACATTCCATTTGAAGTTCAAACCACAAGTAAGGTCTAAAATCACCCAATGAATTTCTTTCTCCTTCTAAGGTTGACGTACCTAGGCCAAAGCACTAAAAGCTGACATGCAAAAGTTCTGAGTCCCTTGAAAGAAAGATAACAAAAACAACTCATTACAAAGGCAACAAGATAATCTATAATAGTAGGCTATATATAATCATTTATTTTTTAGGATGAGCTTCCACCCGGAGGTGTACCTCATTTCTTTCGTTTCTGGGAGAGTGTGGATTTCTTATTTTGTAGATAACAAAAAAAAACCATAATGAGAAAATAAAAATACATGGTGATGACCTCTTTGCATAACATGAAACATGACTGAAACAGAGTGATCCAATATCCCATGAAAATCAAAGCTGCCAAGCCACATAAAGAAGGAAATCTCGTCCAGAGCCAATACTAATTCCTAACAGCACAGAAAAACATTTTCTATATTCATTAATCAAATTGGCATTCATTGTCTTGGGTATCAGATAAAAACCTTAGAAGAAATATAAGAGTGGAAGCTATACCAAGAAGCTCGTGGGTGATCATCTGGATCTCATAATTAAAAAACTAATAACCATGTTTTATGTTCATATGAAACATGGTTTGATGTGTAACATTGAAAACTTCTCTTGAAAAAATCATCAGGGAATAAACATGCAAAACCGCAAAAGGGCAGCGGCACAAAGACATGCACAGTGGTAAGAAAGCTTATAATTCAGTCACAAAGGACATATAGTAAATTTGGCTGTTCTGGAATAACATTTATTAAATATCCTAATTCCTTCATGACCATATTAATTGAGAAATTCGCAAGGCACCATGATTTCACTTTTGAAATTATAAGAGAAGACGAAACGAGAATAGTTAAAACATTGCAATTCGGAATGAGTTGCCACAAAATTGAAACTAGAGGTAAGGTTGAGAAAGAACTCCAACAGCAAGAAGAACGTACCAATGCCTATGACCAAAACAAAGCACCATTTCACCAGCAACAAATAGCCCACACTGACATACAGCTTTCCTCTTAGCGCCTATCAATATCAAAGTACAGAAAAATAACCGTTTAATTGACCAGAAAAACCAAGCATAATTGAACAAGAATGAAACGGAAACCGAAATAGCAACAGAAAAAAAGCTGGAAGATAATCAAGGCCAGGGGAACCTGTTTCAGCAAAATACAAGGGAAAAACAGAACAGGGAGAGAATCAGCAAGCACACGGTATGGCTTGATTCTGCAGCGTCCAAAGTGAGTGTTCAGAGCGGAAGGGCATATCTGTGGCACGAACCAGGGAAGACTTCTGGAGAGGTGGTTTTACAGGGACAAGAGAGAAAATGAAAAAGAAGAACAAAAAAGGGTATTCCGTGCGAAAAGAGTTTTATCTCAGGACAAAAGCATATGTAAGCGTTTTGTCTAATGGCGTTGAGTTTCTCAACGGCTAGCATTCTAACCGTTGGAGGCAGAGACAGCTTTCTTTCTACTTTCTACGTTTGTGACTTTGGGTTAACAACGGTAATAATATTAAGAAACAGACCTGAGCTTTCGGATAATCTCATTCTTATGGGGTAGTTCCATAGTTTTTTGGGACTCGCTAAAATGGGCCTTATAAGTCGACGTGGCTATTCTAAACATGACAGATTAAACGATGTAACGCTCCAAAACACACACACTCTGACACACACGTTCAGTATTGAAAAAATAATTCAGAGTAATTATAATTTCAGATAGCCTTGGTCTTATTTGAAATTTCCAGAATTTAAGGTCCTTAAATGTCATTTACCCAATTATATTTTTAATAATCATTAACACTCTTTTATTAGTCTATTAGACCTGCATTAATTTTATCCCTTACTGAATATTTTTTTTTATCAAAGCAAGTTCATGTGTGAAGTTGGATCCTGAGGCTTATTAGGGTGAAGCTTCAAGTTCAAAGAACAGTCATAAAAATATGTATACATCACTTACTAATAAGATTTTCATACCAGCAATGAACCCACAACTTTTTAAATCGTTGATCAAATATTTACTCACTGAACCAATCTTTATAAGTTGAAGTGAATATTTTCTATTCTGTGACTGCACGTAGATGCTCCAAGTGCTTGGGCTTACACAGGAAAAGAATTAACGAAAAAGCATTTAAGGATAATAGAAAGCAAACAAACATAATTAAATATTACTCAAAAGAGAGCAAACATATATTATCTGTTGTTAAAAGTTCTTACCATATATAAGTGAGAAGAAAAAGGCTGATAAAAACAAACAAATGTGTCTGAGAATTAACAAAAGGGCCAATGAGATGCAAGTTTTTCTAACGTAACGGTAGGTCAGGCCGAATGGAAGCAAGGATGCGAGAGATAACGGAATTGAAGACGAAAGGGCGCTCCAACATAACCAAGTGACCCGCCTCCTCTATTACATGCAATTCTGCTTTCTCCCCTACTTGCCTGCACCACACATCATCACACTCTTCTCCTCATTCTTCACTAATATATATTAATTATAATTGTAATAATAATCATACCAGATTTCAAACTGATGAAGAAAATTATTCATAAATTATGAATGTCGTGTTTTGTTTTAAACTTTGTGTGCCATTATTATTATGCATTCTATACTAATTTTGAGAAATAACTCGCACTATTTATGCATGCATAGTTTATAATGATTACGAGTTTCCATAGTTTTTATAATATATATACATTGATATTGGTTATACAAAGCTTTCTTAAAATTTAAGCTTTCATGTGCCATAACCAATGTTTTTAACTTTCATACAAAGAATTCTTTTAAATTTTTAATTACATGCGTGAGTATATAATTGTTCTACCAATAAAATAATGGATCATGATGTACATCATGTTTTCTTAAATTTTATATCCCCTGCAGTTATCCCAAAATCAAGGAAAGTTATTTACAGTTTAACCTAAAATTTATTATAAATACCATGTTGACATGTTTGCGTGTGGTGGGGTTTCAATCGAGTTCAATTTCAATGCTCATCAAGTGATGAGCTATCTAGATGGTCCAAGTTTACTTGTTTTATTTTATATTTTATTTTCTATTTATTAAAATAAAATTTATAAAATTTTAATAAATCCATCTTATTATCAATGTAGGCAATGCAGATTTAATATGGATATTTTAATTTAATATTAATTTTTAAAATTTTTGTAAATTGATTGTTTAGAAATACTCTGGAAGGTCTGGATTTAAAATTTTTAAATTATAATTTTTTATTAATTTTTTAAAATGCTAGTTTGAAGATTATTTTTATTTTTATTTTAATATTTTGTTTACTAAAATTAAAAATTTCTAAAGAAATTTAATATTAAATTCAGAATATCCAAAATACATTTAGATAACAATTTATAAAAATTATAAAAAATTAATATTGAATTAGATCATTTAAATTAAATTTAACATTATCCTTATTAATGATAAGGTAAATTTATTAAAATTTTACAATTTTTTTACATTAAATATAAAATAAAAATAAATTTGCAATTTAATAAAGAAACCTAGAGAATCAAGATGACCGTCAACTGATGAGTACCAAAATCGATCGTGGTTTCGATCCCTCTCTCCTAGTGAGTAGTAATCCAAATTCATAATAAATAAATGAATAAATATAATTTTTTATCTTTATAATTTACTTGCATTTTATTTTTTACCCTTATATATTTTTTGTGATTTAAATTTTTATATTTTTATATTTTATTATTTTTAGTCTCTCTATGAGTAATTTATAAAGATCTAAAATAATAAAAAATAAAAATATAATAATTTAAAATATCAAAAAATTATAAAAATTAAAAGTAAAATGTGAATAAAATATAAAAATTAAAAGTTATGTTTATCGTAAATAAATCCTTATACTTTTATATATGTCAACAAATTATACGAAAGAGGATAGAAGCTAAGAGACGTACGTTTTTAAATTGCGGCAACGTCTAGGCTGAATATCCGGTCATTTGCTCCCCATATCAGGTGTACTTTCTTTAGCAATTAATCCACCACAACAGCCAACAATATTCATTATGTATTAATCAATGAAATAATTTCTCTCATCACTTCAAAATAATTATTACCTGTGGATAGTGGGGGATTATTGCTGAATCTACGTTCTTCTTTGCAAGTGCCTCCAAAAGTTCTTCTTTCTTCTTCTCATTGCCACAAATTTGCTGCCAGAAAAACAAAAAAATCTAACTCCATCAACACTTCACAGTAATATTGAAGTGATGCATGCATTAATTACGATGCTTTTATAGACGTTTCTTGTCAAATTAATATTTACATATTTGACCTTTAAGCAGTCTCGAAGGAAGAATCGAGGGTATGGGATACGTTTGTGAGTGGCAACATCGAAGAGCACCCTAACTCCATCCACTGTGCGAGGGAGCAATAATTCCGACCAGCTGGAGAAGCCTCCGATCCTCTGGAGAGCCGGACCACTGCTCGATTCCACCAATTCAGTGATGGACCCACTCACCACCACCGACTCTACCATGTCACTGTACATCTCAGCCATCTTGAACCCCACGAACCCTCCATAACTGAACCCTCCCACGCAGCATTTCTCCACTCCCAGCTTTTTCAACCCCTCCGCCATGCACTCCGCCTGAAACTCCACCGACCGCTCTGGTCTCTCCGTCGTCGACTCTCCGAAGAACACTAAATCCGGGACGTACATGGCGTATTTTCTTGCCAGTGCCATGACTTGGAATTGCCACGTAAGGATTCCGTCGGCCGCGAAGCCATGAAGGAGAACAACGGCGAGCTTTTTGTTCTGGGGATTGACAGGAACCCAAAAGTTGATGATGGTTCCTTGCTCGATTTCCACTTTTCGGGGTCTCATGCCTACTGGTTTCATCACCATGCGTAGCAGAGCTCTGTACATTACTATAACACTCACCATGTCTGTGATCGATGGTTCCTCGCGAGAAGGATGTTTTGGGTTGAAGCAAAAGCAAACGAAGCAATGAATGGGTTCCGTACGTTCTCAGCGGCCCTGCGCGTCTCCAAATTCCATCCGTCCAATTGATCAAGGATTTAAAAAGGGACACGTCATCTTGCTTTTAATCCAATTCACAAACCATTAAATGGTCTTGGGGCTAAGCTGGGGCTGCATTTGGTGTTTCATAATGGTTCATGCTTAGGTTGTCCAAATTTAATATTACAATTTTTTATAATTTTTATAAATGTAAGATTGAAGGTTATTTTTATTCTTTAATTTTATTAAATTAAAAATTATTTTTATCTTTTAACTTTACTTTTATAAGAGATGATGAACACTCTGAATTCAAATATTTTATAATAAAAATATAATATAAAGTTCACCAATAACAAATAAACAATGAATAAACAACAACGTGACAAAGAAAAAAATGTTTAATATTAAGATATAAAATTAATTTATAATTAAATTTATGATATTTAATAACTTTTTAAGTAAAGTTAAGTAAGAAAAATGACATTTAATTTATAAATTTATTATCCTGATTTAATAATATTTTTTATAAATTTTTATTTTGATAAATATAATATTAAAAATAAAGATTATCTCATAACTAGCACTTCTAATTTTTTAAAAAAATTATAAATTAAAATTTCAAAATAAATTTGCACAATCTATTTATAAAAATTATAATATTAAATTTACACCGTTTAATTAAAAATATTGATTAGTAATAAATGAATTTATTCAAAAATTTATAAATTTTTATTTTGATAAACATAAAAAATAAAAAATATTAAATATTAACACCGAATGTTATCCTAACTTGGTCCCAACTTGATTTCATGGTTGGTGAATTCTGACAGTCATCACCATTATGTTTTGACACAGCGGACGGTGGTAATGTAACTTCGAGAACAAGTTGACGTGTCTCCTACTAAATACCGAGATCAATTTAAAGGATGAAGTTTGGAGACGCGAGCGCAAGGCAGCTAAGAAAATTGCTTCAGAGAGGATCTGGACCCTTAATTCATTCACGTACATAAATTGCAAATCCCGATACTGCTTATTTGGTCGCACTTGTCGGTGGGGCTCATGAACCATAGAGCAGTAGTGACGTCATGTTTGCTCGTTGAAATAGAATGAGAAGCATTGATTAAAAAAATAAAAATAAAAAAAAATTAAAAGTAATATGTGAACATTTTTATAAAAAAGAAATAATATAATTTATGAAATTAAAAATTATAATTTATAAAATTTTTAAAAAATGTGATTATTTATACATTTATAATATATATTAATAAATTTTGTCATATTTATTATTAAAAAATTAATTTTATTTTAATTTTTTCAATTAATTTCATCCTCATAAACAACCTTAATGTTTGCATTTGACATTCGCATCAACTAGTTAGCGTCCGTGCTCATTATCTCATCATCTCAGGGGCTCTGACCCTTAATTTTATTATCATGTGATTTATGCCGTCTCTTTTAAATTTATTTTTTAATAATTTTAATATTATATTATTAAAACAAAAATTTATAAAAAATATGAAAATATTAAATATGGATTGTCTTGTGGGTTCAGCAAGAGATGAGTACCATACTATTCATTTTACCTTATGAGATTTGGATTGTTCAAATTTAAAAATTTTTAGTTTTATTTTATATTTTTTATAAATTTTTATTTTAATAATATAACATTAGAAATACAAAATAATAAATTTAAAATGGACAGTAGGAATAATGAGAATAAAATTAGGGGCTCAAACATCAGTGTTCATGAGCATGGAATGCGCTCGCAACTAGATATGATATTTATTATATAGGACATCTTTCGACAAGAAACAAGTGGTTCTTAATATAAATTACTTGATAGATAATAATTAATTTTTTTAATATTATCCTTGTTAAAGTCATTACCTATAAAAGAATATTAATACAATACAAATTTAAATTTTTTTCATTTAAATACAGATAAAATTATAATTTTATTTTATTTTTAAATAAAATTAATAACTTACTTTCTCTAGTCCTAATTATAAAACATTTTTTAACCGTTTCAAGCATTTTAAAAAAATTTAATTTTTTTAATATAATAAAAAAGTGAAATGTACTTTAATTTTTATTTTTAACTTTAAATAATAATATAATTATATTAAATACTATTACACTAATCATCAAAAGGTAAAATTAAAAAATAATTTAATTATTATAAAGTGTTATATATTTTAAATTAAAAATTATTTTTAAATTTGTCTTATAAAAATTGAAAGAATAGCAGTTACTACTTCTTAATTAATTTTGATGAGACGGAAGAGAGTACTGGTAAACATCATGCATGTAACAGACTCGCAAAAGACGCACATGGGGACAGCGCCACAATAATTGTCATCTCCATTCATTTTAATGACCAAGGTTACAGGTTGCCATTAGCCCATTACAACACTGTCACTCACTAAAACTAAGCGCATTACTGTCAAAAATTACCTGCTTCCTTTTGGTACCTGGAAGCTCATAAATACATAATCCCTTGAGTTCGAAATGAAATTAGTCTTGTTTGTGGCAGGGACTTATATGTGAGAAGTCTACGAACTCGCATCTTAGGAAAAGATTGTTAAAATGTCTTAATGTAAGTATACTTAAATCGGTAGAAGAAGTCTCACATAAAAATATTTTTAATTTAATAATTAATATATAATAAAATAAAAGAGTATACCTAAAACTTATAGTTAGTAAAATGGGTAATTGTTATTACATTGACCAGAACTAATAAGTAACGCAGTACCTTTTCCTAGCATAACTGTTTAATTAAAATCCTTGTGTGCGAGTATAGAATCTGCTTCTCTTGTCGTTTCAGTTTGTCCAAGTTTGGCTTCGGAGAATCGGTCTATCCAATCATTTGCTGAATTTTACCAACAACGTACGTACACCATAACCCTCCTGTATCGAAGTTTCAAACAAATTTGAGACCAAGAAACGTGATCCTCCTCAAATCCAACCTGTAATTAGAAATAAATCATTTGAGGACCTTCCGAAAGATCCTCTGTCGCGCTCTGTTAAGGTTTGTTAATCTTCTCTTACTTTTCTGTTAAGGTACGCTCTGGTGCTAACTGTTTTGGGGAAAAAGTACTTAAATAAACTGAAAGAATGGCTGGTAAGGCTGTGGGGAATTCCTGATCATGCTTTCGAAGTAGATGATCTTCCTAATAACTAATTCTTGGTTAAGTTCACAGAGAAAGATAATTGGAAAGCTCACTGTAAGAGAGCTTCATTTGAGGGGCCTTGGATAGTGATGCAGCATTGTCTTGTCTTGTCATGTAGAGGTGATCCCCTTTAAAAATATTATTTATCATGGGATAAAAGTTTAAAACCAGTTCTCTAAATTTATTTTTTAAAAAAGGATAATCATAGTAGAAGAGTGTTAAACTTATTTTCAAGAGTTATCATCATTATAAAAAATTTAACTAATAACAAGATTATTAAAAAAATAATCTAAGTAGAAAAAGATTAAACTAGTTAAAAAAGCTATCAAAATTATAGAAGTTTAGCTTTACAATTTTATCTTGAAACTCTGTTGGGATTTGATTGCTAAGCCTAATATACTTTGCAGGTTAGATGGCTAAGAGCTAAATATAAATGTGGTAAAGAGTGTATTCCTTTGGTTAGATCTTGCAAAAAAGAATCTCAAGCTTGGAAGAGTATTGTGAATGTTTGGGATGTTTTGTGCAAGGGAGTGCAAAGGAAAGTAGGCAATGGCCGCAGCATTAATTTTTGCTGGCATAACTTGATGGGCTGGAGTAAAAATCTAATATTATGTCCGCACAAATGACAGGTTCATAAATCACAAGTCCAATTTAGCTAATTTTATTATTCAGGGAGGTTTCTGACACAAAAAATTTAGAAACAATCTTCCTGGGTGTTTGGTTAATGAAACTTCGAAGCAGAAGGTACCAAGAGGAAACCTTGAGGATGCATCCCAGTGGGTTAATGCTTTTGATGGTAACTTTTCCATTAAAGCTGCCTATGAGAAGGTGTTACAAATGTTTTATGGAGTAAGCTTTGGAAATGGAGAGTTCCTAAAAACCAAAAATATTTTCTTTGGCTAGCTAGCTAGCCAAGAAAGAATTTTAACTAACTACTCCTACACAGCTAAGAGAGGTCTAGCCATTGATGATAAATGCCCTTATTAGTGTAATTGTGGAGAGAGTGTGATACACCTTTTGAGAGATTGTAAAATTGCCCGAGAGGTTTGGCTTTTAGCCTTTTATACATTAATCCTAACCTTGTACATAAGTTTTTTGGCTTATCTTTGTAGGACTGGCTAAAATAGAATGTTAAGTCCGAAAGTGGTGTAGGGGATAAAGTTTTTAGCCACGTCCGTTTAGGTCTCTGGAAGGCACGCTGCAACAGTTTTCCAAGGGAAACTATTATAAAGCTACAAATATTACACACACCTATCACTACAGCCTTTTGGAGGATGAGGAAGCTCGCTCTCAATGTCAGAAAATTTAGTGTTTTCGACCTAATCACGCAGGACTCATGGAAGACCAGCTCCGTTTTGACGTTGATAGATCTGAACCAGCAGGGGCTTGCAACTTGTGCAGGGTGTTAAGAAACTCGTACGATGATTGGATACTTAGGTTCCAAGAGTTTGTGGGACAAGGAACATCTCAATTGAAGACGAGCTTGAGGGTTTTAAAGCAAGCCTCCAGTTGTGTCAAGCAAATGGTATAGAGAAAGTCATGGTACATACAGATTCACTTGAGGGTTTGCATCTAATTATGAGGGAGCGTGCATTGAGTCACCCACTTATGGCAGCTATGCACCAGATACACGGACCTCCCTTTGCCTTTTAAAGGAGGTAGAGATCATTTTCTCAGGAAGGGAATCAATCGAACGTGCAGACTTAATGGCAAGGAACATGTATAGTGCAGGGCAAGACTTCATGCTATTTTCTGAGGCTCCGTCTTTTTGCCAAGACATGGTGAATAGGGATAAGAGTTCATGCTCTACTAACCATGTCTTTGTAACCTTTTCACTTTCAGGCTCCGGCTTGCCTTATGTTTTAAAAAGAAAAAAGATAAGTAAATCATTCATTTATCATGTTTCT